CTCCCCAAAAAGGAAAAAAATTACTTTTTAATCATTAACAACAATATGCAATAATTTATGTCAGAAGACATAAATACAGGCATTAAGGTTATAAGAATAGAATTATGGAGGGTATGCTAGAATCTGATAACAGAAGTGACACCTTACCTTTTTGGTAGCATTTTACATTTTTTCAGCCAGGTTGGGCTTACAAGCTCCCTCCTCAAGAACATACTCACACTTAGACTACCCTCTGCAGAAGCAGTCAAGTGGCAAAGAAGGACAATGGAAGGAGAATGGAAGGAGAAGAAGGCATTAAGAGACTGGTTGGGTTGGATTTGGGGACTTGGAAGCACGTCACTACGTGTTTCAACAGTTAGAAAAAAAAAGGGAAAGGAAAAATTTCATGTTTGCTGATTAGGGTGCCTCCTGTCTACCTCTTCTGGAGTTTAGCAAATAATCTAATCCTGTTTGTTTTGTGTTTTTGCATAACTGTTGAAACCATCCCCCATTACTCAGTCATTCCTAGTCAGGACATGATGTTCTAGGACTTATGGATAACCAGAACCTCAGTCCAGTTCTTATCTTGGAAAAGACATCAAGGAAAAGCAGCTTCATTTCAATTCAAGCAAATATTAAGCATCCATTATGTAAAAGGCATTGTGCTAAGTGGTAGGTACACTGATATGATCCAACATACAGATTCAGCTCTTAAGGCACTTAAAATGTAATTGAGAAATGGGAAATAATGTGTGTACACACATACACACACACACACACACACACACACACACACACACAAATAACCATACACATGAGACAGAACCTGATCAATGGAAATGATAAGAATAGAAAAAAGGGCTATGAGAAATTTGGGGGTCAACCGTAGGTGTTTAAGAGAAATAAGATTAATTCCATCAGATGTAGTCTTTGAAAGAACAGGGCTAGAAATAGGTGCCAACCACACCCATCTCGAGTAAGGTGGATAAGGATGGTCAGCTCCTGTGTATCTGTCTTTTCCCTCATTGTTCTAGTCGCCTGAGTGAGTGACCATGATGAACAACAAAACAAAGCAAAATAATACAGTCTCATACCAGCCCTTTAGATTTTGCTTCTCTGGTTTCCCAGGAGGAAAATGAGTGATGTCAGCAGGGTTATTTACTGCTTAGCTGCTAACACTAATGCCATTCCTCTGCTGATTGTGTCTAATTTATATGTGTCTAATTATGTCTAATTATTTATGTCCGTATCTTGTTTGTACATAGCTGTTTGCATGTTATCTCCCTCATTAGACTGTGAGCTTCTGGAGGGCAGGGACTATCTTTTGCCTTTCTTTGACTCCCCAGAGTTTAGCACGAAACTGAGCACTTTGTAAGTACTTATTAAATGTTTGTTGACTGACTGACTGGTAGGATATCCAGGTAAACGTAAGCAGATAGAAAAATGTGGACTTAGGAACCTGGAAGAAATTGAAGGTGACAAATATTTTTAATTAACTTGCATAGACCAAGTTTGATTGTCACTCTGACACAGAAAAGGATCAGTGTTTATCTTTGGATCATTCATGCCCCTGAGTTTTACTGCAGGGAAATCTCCAGAATAAAGCTTAGGTTTAGCTTATGTCTGAGTTTTCCCAAATGCAGATAAAAGGGTCTCCAACTCCTCTTCAGGCACTCAATGTACAATATGGATATCAGCTATGAGACAACCTTTATTCCAACCCCTATAGAAAATGCAGCCTCACCCCCCCCCACTAGATCTAGTTGATGTAAGTCCAGAATCTTGAGGGAGGGGGAGGGTAAGGGGACCTTGGGCCATGGATTACATGCAAATTCAGAGGCCATCTCTAGTTATTCTGATCTATATCTGGCCATTGGACCCAGACGGCTCAGGAGGAGAAAGTGAGGCTGATGATTTTGCAAAACCCTCCCTCACTTAAATCCAATTCACTTGCAAGTCATGGCATGGTCTTCCTGATGTCATGGTCCTCTTCGAGAATGAAGGATAAATAACGGCAACAACTACATACAAAATCCTTAGCTTCATGGCCAAGACCTTTCACAATTTGATGCTACCCTACCTTTCCAACATCATCTGACCTGGCTTTGATTTACATTCTCTATGTTCCAACCAAATTAATCCACTAAACGTTGGTCCTCCAATCTTATACTGCTCTCTCCAGCTTCTGTCCTTTTACTGTCTCCATCTCCAACTTTTGCAATCTCTTTCTTTCTTTACTATCTAGCTCATCGGCCATCTCCTCCATGAAGCCTCCCCCGATCCTCCCAATTAGACGTGGTCCGTCCAGTTCTCTCATAGCACTTTGTTCGGTCCTCTCTTCAGGACCACTTTAATTTGTGTTACAATCAATTGTGTAAATGTCCTGTTTTTACTATCAGGCTATAAATTCCTTGAAGGCAGAGGCAATATCTTTTTTCATTGTATTCTCTGTATGATTTTCACATAATAAGTAATTAATAAATATTTGTTGCATTGATAATCAACCAATCAAGTATTTTTCAGGTACCTATTATGTTCTAGACTATGCTAGGTACTGGGGATACATATACCAAAAGGAGGCATTTCCTGCCCTTAAGAAGCTTACATTCTACTGAAGGGAGACAATATGTTTACAGATATGTTAACACAGGCTATATACCAGATGATTTACAAAAATTAGAGCATTAAATGAAAGTAGCAGAAAAGGTCTTCTCCTTGAAAATAGCCCAAAACCCAAAGAATTTGGTGGCAAAAAAAGCCTACTTCTTCCTACCCTCCCATCTGGAACGTAGGCTAACGCATTCATAACTAAGTTTAGAAACCTGTGTCTGCTTGCCTTCACACGTCTTGATGAGATGATTCTCTCCCTTCTTTTTAATAAGGATGCTGCAGTGTCTTTGACATACATTGGCTGAGTGACCTTTGGCTAGTCACTTAATCTCTCAATGCCCCAGGCAGATTTCTAAGTTGTAAAGAGGCAGAGAAAATGCCATCAGCATGAGTGGAGGGAATTTCATCATCTGGAGTTTCTCACACTGATGATAATAATATTCAGCCCTTACATACTTCTTTACGGTCTGCAAAGCATGTGTTTTTTATATATTATCTCATTAGATCCTCATATCAATTCTATTTCGCAGATGAGGAAGGGGCAGCTAGGTGGCACAGTGACCCTAGACAAGTCACTAAATGCTGTTTGCCTCAGTTTTCTCAACTGTAAAATGAGCTAGAGAAGGAAACGGCAAACCCCCAATGGGGTCATGGAGAGTTGAACACAACTAAAAAAACTCAACAAGAACAGATGAGGAAACTGAGGCAGAGAGAGGTGAAGTAATTTGATCAGGGTCACACAGCTAGTTAAATATCTGAGGCAGAATTTGAACTCAGGTCTTCCTGACTATGATTTAGCTGCCTTTCACTGATGAAATCACAAGTCCAGATCAATTTCCCTATGACACAAAACTTCCAATGAATTATTCATTCCTATTCTACTTCTCATTGGAGGGAGAAAGAGTAGTGTTTTACAACAAAACAAAGAGGCTAGTGTAGATACAGAGAAAAATTTCTTGAAAATGAGTGTCATTTAATATGATAATAATTCAATGGACACCTCCTCAAAGGGCAATCACCTTTCTCTATTTGATTATATAGCATAGCATACTGTATTGTATTATTTTATATCATTAGATTGTAAGCTCCTTGAGGGCAGGGAATATCTTTTGCCTCTTTTTGTATCCCCAGCTCTTAGCACAGTATCTGGTACATAGTAGGCATTTAATAAATGTTTGTTGAATTGAATTGAATTATATGAGAAGCTTTCCTTTATAAATGTAACAGGAATTTGAAAACTGTCATCCTGGCATTTCTAGTTCAGAAAGATGAGCATTCCTACCTAGCCTGTGGGCTAGGCTAAAAAATATCCATTTCATTACGTTTTTGTTATTGATCATTATCATTCGTTTCAGTCATGTCTGACTCTTTGTGACCCCATTTGGGATCTTCTTGGCAAAGATACAAGAGTGGTTTGCCATTTCCTTCTCCAGCTCATTTTGAGGAAACTGAGGCAGACAGCATTAAGTGACTTGCCCAGGGTCACACAGCTAGTATCTGAGGCTAGATTTGAACTCAGGTCTTCCTGACTCCAGGCCCAGTGCTCCATCTACTGCACAACATATCATCCCTCGAATTCTCTTCATTGTCTTCTCAGAATGTTCTCCACTTTTTTCTTAGGTTGTGAAGCCCTGCACCCAAGTAAGGAGCTCCATGGGATGTGATGTGCTAAGTATAGAGAGTGAGTTGCCACGGATGCATCTCTGTGCCTCACCTGAATCGTTTTTAGCTGCACCACCCTGCTGATTCATGCTCACTTTGTGGTCTACTTAGGCCCCTAAGATTCTTCTTCTTGAATCTTTACCGTACTGTTTCAATGCAGTCTGGAACCACAAGTTATAGGAGCCTGTGGTACAGGGGTCAGAAGTTCATTCTACAACTCTACCTCTTAGGAATTTCTGCCCCAACTCTGCCACCAAAGCTAGATACCTACCACTTATTCTTTGCCTTGACTTATCCATTGGTGAGGCAGGGTGCCATATTGGAATGGACACTACACCTACAGTTAGAAGAACTCTAGCCTCTGGACCCCTCTGAGCCTCAGTTTTCTTATCTGTAAAATGGGTGTTGGATTAGATAACTTCTTAGATCTTTACAGTTCTAAATACTCTGATCCTGTCATTTCCCACACAGGGCCCTCCCTTCACCCAAGGAGATTTCAGGCCAAACAGTCCTGGAAGTGAGCTTTTCTACCCGGCCGGAGGGTCACTGACCCAGCCTCACCTACAGAAAATTCTGAATAGGCCTGAACAGAGCCAGCACTCCCATAGCTAAGAACAAGTCAGTATCCTAAGGGTTAAAGGGTGGCCTCTGTCCCTCTGATGAGGCCTCAAGGCCACTGGCTCCAGTTCTGGGTAGAAACAAAGGCAAAAGGATGATGCAACTCAGCAAACTTTACCCAGGTCCATCTGTGATCCCGATGAGCCGGAGATGGCTGCAAAATAATGATGAGAATGTGAGTTCCTTCAGCCTGGGTATCCCGGAGGAGACAGAGAGAAGGTAGAATGGGGTGTTTACAGTTAGGGGAGAGGGCCCTGGGGAAGGTCCTTCTCAACAGGGAAGAGAAACAGAGGCAGAGAAAAAGAGACACAGACAGAGATATGGGAGGGGGAGAGGAGGGGGAAGAGGAGGAGGAGAGAAGAAAGACAGAGGCAGAGAGAAGAGAGACAGAGGCAGAGAAATCAGAGAGAAACTGAGAGTAAGGAGAGAGACACAGAGATACAGAGAGAGAGAGAGAGAGAGAGAGAGACTTTGAAAGGAGGGATGTAGTAAGTCAACTAAAGTCATAGAATTTAGAAGGAAAGAGGACCTTAGAAATCTTAGTGGCTTCCTTATTTTACTGAAACTGAGAAGAAACTGAGGTTCATAGAAACAAGGTGACTTGTCCAACTTTACACAGCTATTAAGTTGCAGATGAAGGATTTGAACTCAGGTCTTCTGACTTCAAATTGAGAAGGGGGTTCATTTATGCTATTTATGTCTATATAATAGTTATTTCTAGATATCACACACAAATACACATATACCCACAACACACACACACATACACACACACACACACACACACACACACACACACACACACACACACACACACACATGCATTGAACCCTTCCTTGGCATAAAAGAACAGTTCAGCAAAAAACAACCAACGAGGTGACTACTTCTGATAGTGTATACAACGTTCTACTCCTGCAGTCCCCCAGCTTTCTACCAAACCAACTCTGTGACTAGTTTGCTTTGAAATAGTACGAATATGACCACAGTTGCAGGTTTGATCCCTAAACAGGCCAGTAAACTTAACACAGAGAACCTCTCCATTCCATGTCCACAGACTGCACCCCTAATCCTGCCCAGTTACTTCACAAAGGCACACTATTGATGACCGGAATGAACCATTCCTTCCCTCATTCATTCCTTGGTGACAAGGGCCAGAGGGCAGGTGAGTATGATTGCTTAGTACTAACCCATCCCAACCACAGAAAAAGGAACCCCTCTAGATAAATGTCTCCTTGGTGAAAGCTAATGAGGGTGTATTCTGCAGATCGGAGGTGGTGTACAGAAATAAAATCTTAACTGTCATATCAGTCTTCAAAATTTGTATTCTCATTCACTACTCAATATAGGTCAGCTTGTTCTACTAGGCCCTAAGCTTTCTTAGCTCTACAACTGAGTTTCCATGCCAACAGAACCAAATTCCCAAGACCAAAATCTGGAATAGTAATACTAACTAACATTTATATAGTGCCTACTATCAGGCACTTTACAAATATTATCTCATTTGATATTTACAACAACCCCGGGAAGTAAGTGCTATTATTATCCCTATTTTAAAGATGAAGATAAAAAACTGAGGTAGACTTAAGTGATTTGATCAGGATCATACAGCTAGTAAGTGTGTGAGACTGGATTTGAACTCAGGTCTTCCTGACTACAGGCCTGTAGTTCCATCTATTGAGCCACCTAACTGAGAAATGGTGTATGCTCCATTATAATGTCATATACTTTCAGCTTTTCCAGATGCCACTATGATTAGATTACCATGTCACTTAATCTCATCTAAAATGCCACGTTCTATAAGTATCTCTGAGAAAGGCCTCATTTCTCAAATATATAGAGAACCGAGTCAAATTCATAAAAATATAAGTCATTCCCCAATTAATAAATGGTCAAAGGATATGAATAAGCAGTTTTCAGATGAAGAAATTAAAGCTATCTACAGTCATGTGAAAAAATGCTCAAAATCACTGCTGATTAGAGAAATGCAAATTAAAACAACTCTGAGGTACCACCTCACACCTATTAGATTGGATAATATAACAAAAATGGAAAATGATGACTGTTGGAAGGGATGTGGGAAAACTGGGACACTAATGCACTGTTGGTGGAGCTGTGAACTGATGCAACTTTTCTGGAGAGCAATTTGGAATCATGCCGAAAGTGCTATAAAACTGTGCCATACTCTTTGATCCAGCACTAACTACCACTGGTAGGTCTGTATCCCAAAGAGATTATAAAAGGGGGAGGGGGAAGGACATATTTGTACAAAAATATTTATAGCAGCTCATTTTGTGGTGGCTAAGAATTAGAAATCAAAGGAATGTCCATCAACCGGGGAATGGCTAAATAAATTGTAGTATGTAATTGTGATGGAGTATTATTGTGCTATAAGAAATGACAAGCTGGATGATTTCAGAAAAACCTGGAAAGACCTATATGAACTGATACATAGTGAAGAGAGCAGAACCAGAAGAACATTGTACACAGTAACAGCAACATTGCATGAAGAACTCTGAATGACTTAGCTATTCTCAGCAACATAGTGATCCAAGATAATCCCAAAGGACTAATGATGAAGCACTGATATTGTTTGAATACAGACTGAAGCACGCTTTTCACTTTCTTTTTTTCTTTCATTCTTTTTCTTTTATTTGAGTCTTTTGTACAAAATGACTAATATGGAAATGTTTCACACAATTGCACATGCGTAACCTATATCTGATTGCTTACTGTCTCAGGGAGGGGGATAGGGAGGGAGGGATAGAATTTGGAACTCAAAATTTAAAAAAACAACAAAAAATGTTAAAATGCCACCTTCTGCAAGAAGTCTTTCCCAGGTTCTCCTCAATGCTAGTGCCCGCCCTTCTGAGGTTGCCTTCCACTGACACTTTTTATGTACTTGTAAGGGAAGCTGAGGAGTATAGATCCTCCCCAGTCCCCTGTGTAACCATCTCATGACCTAATGGTGTAACTGCCTCATGACCTGACATAAAGATAGATGGGAATTATCATGCATGGCCGGAGGTGACCATGGAGATGAAACATTAAATAACAGACAAGCTATGTTACCTGGGAAAGCAATTTATCTCAAGGAGCATTTTTCTTGAGGAAGGTGTGTAACTGTCCAAGGAATTGATCCCTCCTCAGAGACTTACACAACAAAAAGGTATTTGGGGCTCTGGTCAAGCCCCAACTTTTGTTAAAGATGTGTGCATGCCTGGACATGAGCTCACCAAGGATACGTACACAAAACAAAATGTCAAGATTGTCTTTCCCTGGTTTACATGGATATAAAAGGGATCATTTGGAAAGGGATTTTTGGAGTACTTTGATGCAGATTTAGGGACGCCGACTCTGTCGGAGGCGGATCATGTGCGCAGTCTCCATTGTGTCTCAGGTAGGATGCCCCCATTGCCTCCCTGACCAGACCCATTGGGCCGTCTCCAGTCTCCCTGGTTCTATGGGTGTTTGAGCTCGCCTGGTCAGTGACTGTGTATCCTTTCTTTTCTTATTCCCTCTTTCCGTAATGTTGATTATTACTTGTTGCATTGAATGTTATCCTTACCTTTATTGCTTGCGTGGTTTTTAATCATTATTAATCATTGTAAATAAATGTGATAATTGTTAAATTTATCCTGAGTACGTGTCATTATATCTTGAGATCCGAACCTAAAAGTGAAAGTACTGTGCAGTCTGTAATCCTTTCGATTACAGTACTACATATGCATATATACATACATATATATATATAATGTTTTGCTTCTGTCTTGTCACTCTTCCTTTATGGAATCTCCAATTTATCCTGTCTATCGCTTGTGTTTACATGGTTGTTTTCATGCTTGCCTCCCCCATCAGACTATGAATTCCCTGAGAACAGATTGTCTTTTGCCTTTCTTTGCATCCCCGTCATTTAGCACAATACTTGGCACTAGTAGGTGCTTCAAAAATGCTAGTTTACTATGACTATGACCCAGGGGTGTGCTGGAGCCGGTTCTGATGACGGCCTTGTGAAAGCTGAGTGTTAAATTTTCAATGTGAGCATTTACATCTCAGAAATCAGCAATCACTATGAATCATGGCTTAATCTATTATTTTATTTCTTGTCTGGACTTAAGAAAGTATTAATAATACAGATTAAACTTTTAAGTGTATATGTTGGAGGCAGAGCCAAGATGGTGGAAAGGTAGGAAGCAATGTGGTGAACTCTGGTCTCTCAAACTCCTTCAAACAGACATAGAAAATGCACTAGATCAAATCCTGATGAGGAAATACAGGAAAAGTCAGAATGAGTCATTTATCCAACCCAGATCCGCATAGGGAGCCAGACAAGGAAATATACAGACATTAGGATGGGATAGGTGAAGAGTATCCCACATGTTAGCACTCCAGCACCCCGGAAGAGGCTGCATACCAGGGCAAGAGGAAGTCAGACCCATACCACACCATTGTGACAAGTATAGGTGCCAACTGGCACCTATCTTCCACTCTGTCATCTAATTATGTCATCCACTACCCAGTTCCAGGTAACAGGCATAAGGTAGAGTGAGAAGGGGACCTGCACAAGGGATGGTTTCTTGTGTAGGGAGCCCTTGGGTGGTGTACCAAGGAAGAAAAACATTCAAAAGCCAGCAGCAGTAGAATGGCTTAAACCCCAGACTCAGAGCAGGATCTAATTTACAGCATCTAACTAAGCCTACAGAGGAATAAGCAGGGCAGGAGTCCTAAACCAAAAGGGAACCTATAATTCAGAACCAATAGAAATATTCCACCTGTCAGACAGAGGCTGATTCCATCAGCAATCTATTCTTGCTCAGATCCAAACCTGAGTCAGAAACTTGCAGCACTCAGACCAGGGCAGCAGAAATCATACTTTGCCCCAGATCAAACCATTTTCAGAGTACTGGAAGAGTAGAGTTTCCCATCATGTCCCTGAGATCCCAGCATACAACATTCAATATCCCAAGAAAGCAGCAATAGGAACAGCTCAGAAGTATTGCAGAACCTAGCCCTAAAATCAAGTCCAAATTCAGGAAGTAGGATGAAAGAATAGGCAAATAAAAACAGAATCCCACCATGAAAAGCTATTGTGTTGACAGTGAAGCTCAAGACACGAAACCCAGAAGAAGGGAATGATTCCAAAATGGCCCCAAACAAAGTCTCAGAGGAAAACACAGCTTGGACAAACATTCAACTAGAATTCCTAGAAGAGATGAAACGAAAGCTTCAAAGAGATTTTTGGAAAATGGTTTTATAAATGAAATGAAAGAGCTTGAGAAAAAGACTGGAAAAGAAATAAGAGTCATGAAAGAAAGAAGAGGAAAATAAACTGGTAGCTTGGCACAAGAGGCGCAAAACTTTGCCCAAGCAACAAACTCCCTAAGAGTTAAAATGGACTAAGTAGAAGCTAATGACTCCGTATGACAACAAGAAATATTAAAGTCAAAAAGCTAAAACACATGTGTCTCCTCTGAACTCTATCATCATCAGAAGAGTCCAATTAGACAAAGTTCTTTGATGTACTGAAGAAAAAATGGAGAGAGGAATACACTTTAGGGAGCTGAGGAGTGGGAAGGGAAAGGAAGGTTAGGGGAAATTATTTTACACAGTCAGGGTACACAAGCCAACTTCTGAACAAAACCAGGAGGAGAGGATGGGGGAACATGGCTGACACTTGAGTCTCACCCTCATCTGAACTGGTCAAAAGAAGGAAGAATACATGCACACAGAGAACAGGGAACAGAAATGCCTGTTCCTCATAAGGAAAATGAGGAAAGGGGGGAAAGGAGTAGGGAGACTTAGACAGTGGGTAAATTAAGGGACGGATTAGTCCCAAGCAAAACAAACTCTAAGAATGTACAAAAATATTCGTAACTCTTTCTGAGGTGACAAAGAATGTAAATCTGAGAGGGTGTCCGTAAGTTGGGGATTGAATAAATAAGTGATGGTTTATAAATGTGATGGAATGCTGTTGTGTTAAACTCTTATCCGCATCATGACCAACCAGGATTCCAGAAGACTAATGATGAAACTACCCACCTTCTGAGAGGAGGGGGCAAGGATTCAGAATGGAGCAAATATATTTTTGGATGCGGCCATTGTGAAAACTAATGTTGATTGACTATACATGTTTGTAATGGGTTTTGCCTTTCTCGTGTTCTCAATTGGAGAAGGGTAGAAGGGTGAGAAGGCAGATCTTAACTGAAACCAAATTTTTAAATTTTTTATTAAAAGTGTGTGTACATACATTTTTGTTTTTCAGAGACCCTGTTTGTTAAACATTTACCAGGACCCCTCTGACTATGACTATGCATCTACGTTTTTTACATGCTGTCTCCACCTTCAGATTGTGAGCAAAGACTGTTTTTGCTTTTCTTTGTATCCCCGGCACTTAGCAAAATGCCTGGCACATGGTAAGTACTTAATAAATGTTCTTTATTGAATTACTAAACCAAGAGTCTGATAACAGGATCATCAGAATAAAAAAGATGAAGGGGTTGTAGGGCCTCCAAATGTTTTAAAGATGAGGTATTCAGGGGGCAGCTAAGTGGTGCAGTGATAGAGCACCAGCCCTGAAGTCAGGAGGACCTCAGACCAAAGTGCTTGGCATCAGACCAAACACTTGACACTTACTAGTTGTGTGACCCTGGGCAAGTCACTTAAACCCAATTGCCTAAAAAAAAAAGATGAGGTACTCAGAAACTTATATTGATGGTAATTTACTTTCTCTAACAGGTTTTAATATTTGGTAACCCTTTAGATTTTTTTTTCTTTTTGAGATGTTGCCTGCTCTTGGGTTTTTATTTTGTTTTGTTTTTTCCCCCAAAGTGACAATTTTTGGTAAAGCTTACTTTTAATATTTGTGGGCCTTCATTGTTCACCACTGGTCTTCAATAACTATGAAAAAATATTCTGAATTGAAGAACTGTCAGTCATATATTCAATTCTTCTGAGTCAATATTTGTAGAAGCATAGTGCAGCTATGGAATTGTTTGCAACTCTTCACATAGCAATAGATCCTTACTGAACGAGATGCTATTGGCCTACCTGCAGTAGGGCATGAATTTTAGCTATTTTTCCTATGAGGTAATGGAACTGAGAAGCTCAAACTATTCTTTTACCTTAATGTTCTGGTTATTTTTCTTTTAGGTAGTTGGGGTTAAGTGACTTGCCCAGGGTCACACAGCTAGTAAGTGTCAAGTGTTTGGTCTGAGGCCGGATTTAAACTCGGATCTTCTTGACTTCAGGGCCCATGCGCTATCCACCGTGCCACCTAGCTGCCCTGTAACCTTAATGTTCTTGGGAGAAATGGTATAATTGGGGAACAACCGACTGGGATCAGAGGTGAAACTTGTGGCTACAAAATGGAACCATGCTAAATGGTAAATAAAAAGTGGAATATCTAGTTTTTATCCTCAGCATTACGAGCCAATGAGTCATAAAGAATAGGTACGGCTTTTTTTATTCTTTCATAATTGGGGCTTGAACAGGACATGCACAAAGCTACCCTTGCTGCTTCTGGCTAATCATGTGCATTACTCAGCCCTGAAGAGAATAAGCCCTTTGAAATGATGAAGCCACCCGGTAAAGAAAGAAGAACCCATGATTCAGTGCACCTTGAAAAAGAGAGTGATTTTGCCCCAGCTCTTGTCTTTCAACTCTTCCCTGGGCAAATGGTGGTCCCTTTTGCTAGACTTCCCATAAAAGAATGGGGGATGGGACAATGGGTATCACTCTTTCCCCCACCCTGGCTGCTCTCATGTGGCAACTAGATCAGAAGGACTCCAGTAGGTGAGCTTTCACCTGGATCCCCAGCTATTTTTGCCACTTTGTATTTCCTTTCCTGAGTGGGTGATCAAACAACACCGAGATGGATGGAGTCCAAGCTTGGAAATAATCTTGTGAGTTTGAGAGGTCCGGGGCAACCGGGGCCATTGGGTAGAGCTGTCACTGGGAGAAACTTTTGCATCAGAGAAGAGGAAATCAAGCCCTTGCCTGGCTAGCCAGAAAACATGGAGCTCAAGGTAGACAGTACTGAGTCAAGGTGAAATGCAAAATATCTAATCAGTAGTACTGAAAATGGCTTCCTTTTTAAACGGCTTTAAGTATCAACCTCCTGACTATGGATAAGGGTAGTTATAAATTAAGTTACAGAATCTTGTTTTAAGTCTTTGTTAATACATATTTATGACATTTATGTTTAGCATCTCTTTTGAATGCAGGAAATAAATGCCTCTTCCATACTTAATTCATATTATACCTTAAGTATCTTTCTACTCCCACTTTGGGGAGAATGTGGACATGAGCCAAAACCTAAACTTTAAGAAAATCATCCCTGAGTCACCAAGATGAAAGTTTAACAAATCAATAAGTGTGAGAAAAGGGAGCCTAACCTCTTTGTTAAGAGGACAGGGTCCCTCAGAGTATAACCCAGTTTGGATCATGTGTGTGGGTCCAGAGCAGAAATGCCCTTTTGTGGAAATGAAGAGGGCACAGTGTCCCCCACTGCCAGGGCCCGGTAGCAGTTCCAAATGTTTAACTGTGTTTATTGCTAGATAAATCGTTTATCTTTTTAAATATTTAGCTTAATCTATTAACATATAGATCCTGTTAGTCAATTTCATCATTAAAAAGTCAATTGTTAGGATAGAATAGGTATCTAAAAGAAAACTTTCTGTATTTATCCAAATTGATAATAAATTCCTAGTTCCTGAAGCTATCCAACCCCCCCCCCCCCAGTCACCAAGATGACAATTGGTTTTATTTTGATGTGCCCTGATCACCAGATTTTTCTCAGTTCATCTTTTTTAAAGTTTTACTAGTGTCTTTGGTTGTTGTTCTTCATTCTCAAAGAGGACCCAAATGACCTCACAACGTTGGGGTTAAGGTACACTGTGTCCAGCTGTGGCTGATTAGACCAAGATGAGCTTAGAAGGCTCTACCACAGATTGGGCACAAATAGTCCATATAAACATCTGGAGTGCAGTTGTCTCTAAATCTGTGCATCTCACGTTTCTTTTGACTTTTTTAATTGTTTACACCATAGCCATTTCCCAATCTATCTCCTCCCCAACTCCCCTTGAGCCCTGCCTTTTAAATAAAGAAAAACAGACAAGAGAGATGGATGAACAAAACAATGCCTTTAACATTCTGTACCTTTAGCTGCTCACAGGGGTGTGCTAGAGCCAGCTCACATCCATTCATAAGAGCCAACTGTGAAATTTTCACCATAAACACTTTGTCACTGTTGTTTAGCCATTTTTTAGTCATATTCAACTCTTTATAACCCCTTTTGGGGTTTTCTTGGCAAAGATCCTGGAGTGGTTTGCCATTCCCTCTCCAGCTCATTTGACAGATGACGAAACTGAGGCAAACAGGGTTAACTGAATTGCCCAGAGTCTATATCTAGTAAGTGTCTGAGGCCAGATTTGAATTCAGGAAGATGAGCCTTCTTGATTCTAGGTCTGGTGCTCTATTTGCTGTGCCACCTAGCTGCCAGATTTTGGCCTAGGAAGGACACAACTCTTTGTTCAAAAGATGTAGGTACCTGAAGGTGAAAATTTCCTACTTTAGGATTGGAGGCCCTAATGCTCAAGACTTTGAGGAAATAAGATGAGTGAGGCTAGTCCTAGGGAGAAATTCACCTAGCTGCCCTCAACATTTACACCTCAGAAATTAGCAAATGTTATAAATCAGTTTGATAGACTGTTTTGTTGATTTCTAGATTTAAGAAAGTGATGGAGAAAATCTTAGGTCCTCCTGAGTTCAAATTCGGCCTCAGACACTTGACACTTACTAGCTGAGTGACCCTGGGCAAGTTGCTTAACCCCGTTGCCTAGTAAAAACAAAACCAAACAAAATAAATAAAATGGAGTCACTTACGCTTTTTCAATATCACAAAAGCAACTTAGGGGCAGCTAGGTGACGCAGTGGATAGAGCACCTGGCCTGGAGTCAGGAACACCTGAGTTCAAATACAGACTCAGACACTTACTAGTGTGTGACCCTGAGCAAGTCAGTTACGCCCAATTGCCAAAAAGAAAAAATAACTTGCCTGAGGTCACATGGGAACTAAGCGGCAGTGGTAGGATTTGAACCTAGATCCTTTGATTTCAGACCTAGCACACACTCTCCACTGAATCACACTGCCTTTGCTTTCAAGGGCCTCAACCTTGCCATTTTTGTCAGTTGAGTTTCAAAGTTCATCCCAGCTGAAATTCTTGCCCTGAAAACCTTCTGCCCTCTCAACTCAACATACAGTGTCACTGGTTGTTTTTTTTTTCTTCTTTTCTTCTCTTTACAAAATGGTCCTATATTTCAGATTTCTGGGACAAGAGATCTGGTTTGGATGCCAGAGCAAATATTGGGAAATTTCAGGCCACTTCATTTGATCTGTTAGTGACTTCAGAATTTCATGTTATTGCATGTGAAACCACTATGTTTATTTTCCCCTCAAACAGAAGATTCTGGCGCCAGCTCAGAGGTAATGCCTAGCAAGCAGGAGAAAAAAAAAAAAAGGTAAAGCTAGTAGGCAATGAACGGATAATGGAAAGTGGGGAATAAGAAAAGAGAACAAACAGAGAGGAAGCTAGATCCCAGAAAATAGAAAGTGGGTGTCAGCACACATAAAGTGATTCTGCTATGTTCATTCCCCACTGCGTCATTCTAGTGGGACAGACTTGATTAGGGCCGCCCAAGCTATCCAGGTCAGAGATTCCCCAAGCAGAGAGGTGTCCAGTTCAGAGAAGGAAAAGCCTTCCCAAGGCAAGCAGAAGGAATTTTTAAGATGCACAACTAAAAAGTCTATACTAAATCACCCAATGGCCCCATCAGCTCCCATGGACTCAATTATCATCAACATTTTGATGATTCCCAGATCTCTATATCTAGCCCATGTCTTTTTGGTGATAGCAAGTTGTGCATTTCCAAATGCCTCTTGGACATCTTGAGCTGGAGATCTTGTAGAAATCACAAACTTGAAAGATACAAAATAGAACTAATTATCTTCCCAGCCTCACCCCCAAACTCTCCCTCATTTTGAACTTCCCTATTATTGTTGGGCACCACCATCCTCCTAATCACTCAGGCTGGCCATCTTGGTGACTTGACTACTTGACTCCTTACTTTCTCTCGTCACCTCCATATCTAATCTCTTGCCAAATCTTGACATTTCTATCTTCACAACATCTCTTGCACATGCCCCTGTCTCTCCACTCATGCAGCCTCCACTCTAGCCCAATAAGCATTTATTAAGTACCTACTGTATGACAGGCACTGTGCTAAGTGTTGGGAAAAAAAGAAAGGTCAGAAAATTATAAATATTAGAGATCTGGGAAAATTGGAACACTAATGCATTGTTGGTGGCATTGTGAACTGGTCTAGCCATTCTGGAGAGCAATTTGGAACTATGCCCAAAGGGCTATAAAATTATGCATACCCTTTGACCCAAAAAAACTACTTCTAGCTCTGTATCCCAAAGAGATCATAAAAACAGGGAAAAGACCCACATGTACAAAAATAGTTGTAGCATTTTTGTGGTGGCAAAGAATTGGAAATTGAGGGGATGCCCATCAATTGGGGAATGGCTGAACAAGTTGTGGTATATGAATGTAATGGAATACTATTGTGCTATAAGAAATGATGAGCAAGCCAACTTGGAAAAAAAAAGTAGAAAGATTTATGTGAATTGATGCTGAGTGAAATGAGCAGAACCGGGAGAACATTGTACACAGTAACAGCCATATTGTGTGATAACTAACTTTGTTAGACTTAGCTCTTCTCAGCAATGCAAGGATCTAAGACAACTCCAAAAGACGCACAATGGAAAATGCTATCCACATGCAGAGAAAGAGCTATGGAGTCTGAATGCAGATGGAAGCATACTATTTGCTCTCCTTTTCTTTTGCTGTTTTATTTTATTTCTTCTTTCTCGTGGTTCCTCCCATTAGTTCTAATACTTCTATACATCATGACTAATGTGAAAATATGCTTAATATGAACGTATAAGTAGGGCCTATATCAGATTACACTCACCTCTTGGAGAGGGGGGAGGAGAGGAAGGGGAAGAAAATTTAAAACTCAAAATCTTATGGAAGTTAATGTTGAAAACTAAAGAAATAAATTAATTTTTAAAATATGTTATATATTATTATATTATAAAAATAAAATTTAAAAAAAATTATTTTTTAAAAAAAAGAAAGAAAGAAAAGAAACTTGGACTGAAAAAAGAAAAGGTCAAAGGCAGTTGCTGCCCTTGAAGAGCTCGTGGGTCTTTCAGGTCCTCACTACCTCTCGATCGGACTGCTTCAATAGCCTTCCAACTGCTCCCCCTCACCTATGTCTATCCCTATTCCAATTTCTCAGTAGCCAAAGTGGTTGTTCTAAAACACAGGCGTGAACATCTCACTCTCCAGCTCATGGAGTCCCATTGGCTTCCTATTACCTCCAGAATCAAACATAAACTTCTCCGAATAGCATTTAAATTTTTTCATAACCTAGACCCTGCCTACCTTTTCTATCTTCTGATACCTTATTCCTGCTCATGTCCTGTATCATCCAACCATACCGACCTACTCCATCTCCCATTTCCTCTCTCCATGTCTATCCCCCAGGCCAGGTATGTTCTGCTCTGCTCACCTCTGCCTCTTAACTTCCCTGACTTCCTTCAAGACTGGGTCAAATCCCAAGTACTGCAAGACCCCAGCCTCCTGACCCTAGCAGTTAATGCCTTGCCTTTTCAGAATAACTTTATTTACTCTCTACTAGTATCTATTATCTATATCCCCGTCTATATCTATAGCATTTCTCTATCTATAAATATCTAGATATACTATAGATATAGATATAGATATCTATCTTTAAGTTTGGTCTATATCAATGTCTATGTTTATAACTATAGTATATCTATATCTGTCTCTGTTGATGTTTATGGATTGATACTACAGATATAGACAAAGGTATAGGTAGATATATAGGTATAGATATATCTTGTATACACCTAGGTATATACCTCCCCCTTGAGGGGACAAACTTGAATTTAACAGTTCTTGTCTTCACTTTAGTAAGCAACATGCCCTGGATTTTCCTCCCCTCATGGCAGCGTGGCTATTGGTAATTCTCCCAGGTCTAATCTGCTTGGTATTTGGGCTCTCATTGTCAGGGACCCCAGGGAAAGTGTCTGAGTTCTGATCAAGGCTGAGGTTGTGTTCCCTGAGATATTGAGGCCCAGCTAGGCTTTCCTGCCCCCTCCCCAGCAACCTTACTCCCCTCCTCCATCACAGGAAAAGCTAGATAAATCCAAGAGTTTTTTTTTCTTCGTGCTACCAGCCCCTTTCCCCTTAGTTCTCTTGCTACCTCTATCACTGGCCTGGGTGTCTGAGACTTGTTCAGTCATGTCTGACTCTTCATGGCCCCATTTGGGGTTTTCTTGGCAAAGGTACTGGAGTGGTTTGCTATTTCCTTCTCCAGCTTATTTTACAGATGAGGAAACTGAGGCACACAGGGTTCAGGGACTTGCCCAAGGTCACACTATTAGTAAGTGTCTGAGGCCAGATTTGAACTCAGAAAGAGGAGCCTTCCTGACTCTAGACCTGAGCTCTATTGATTGTTCCACCTAACTGTACTATTATGCCAACAAACCTGGTACATACGGCCACACCTTGAAATACTAAGACAAACATCAAGAAACATCTATTAAATACCTACTATCCTTTGGTCACCGGGCTAAGCCCCAGAGGATACAAAAAGACATTCTTCCCTGGAGAAGCTTAAAATCAAAATGCAAACAAATACGTACAAAACAAGCCATATACATGAGAAACAGGACATAATGAACATAGGGAACGCACTATAAGTCCTTGCTGAGTCTCAAAGATCATCTTTCTGTAGAGCCCCTTCTTAGAGCTTTTATCCTGGACTCCCTGGCACTGGTGGGCTAGATGAAAAGGAGAACAGCATCATAGACACAGGTCCAAACAAGCCCCTTCATGCAGAGGTTCTTATCCTAGGGTTTGGGGAGAGATTTCAAGGGGGTTGTAAATTTGGATGAGAAAAAAAATTACATTTTTATTTTCCCTAGCCTATAATTGAAATGTAGCATGTCCTTCAGTTACTTACAAATGTGATTCTGAGAAGGAGGCCCTAGGCTTCCCCGGGGGCAGCCAAAGGGGTCCAGGACACACGAAAAAGGTGAAGAACTCTTGCCCCATCAGCGCAGAAATGTGTTTTGCTTGGCTCTACATGTTTGTAACAGGGTCTGTTTTTCTTGCTTTCTCATGGGGTTGGGGGAGGAGAAGAGAATTTGGATCTGAAAATAAGATAAAGTTAAATTTTTTAAAATAACTCTTGTCCTAGTGGAATGCCATCTCTGAATGGCACCCTCCCAACTCCACCCCCACACCAGCTGCCTAGGTTCTGGTCTCTCTGGCCACACCAGAAACTCTGCATATGCATCACCGTCCAGAGCTCACTAATCTTCCCTTATCTTTTTGGCAGTCATAACACATCAGCTGAGGCCCCAAACACTCGGGCATATGATGCTCTTCTAAGGAGCCCTCTGGGTCTTCATTTAGGCCTTTGTGAAATAATTCTATTGCCACTGCCTCTTCCAGGTCCCGAGAAGGCTTTCAGTTAGCCCAGCACATGGATGTCGGCAACAATGACCATGGTCTTGTCTCAGTTCCAGCATAGTGATGGTCCTACCCTGACAGCAATGGGGACTTCCCCCAAATAGCCAAGGATTCTGCATTTAACTGGTAAGAGCTTCCCAGAAAGGAGACTTCTCCATCTTCCAACACAGGAGCAGAATATAACAGTCCTTCCAGCGAGGCTTGGACTGGCTGCCTTGTAAAGGGGCCCAAGTCACTGAAGACCCGGGGAGGTCAGTTTATTTCTCTCTAGCTTGGGAAAAGAGGAGGCAAGTATGAGATCAGAATTAGACTGGAGATGGTGGGGTTTCCCTACACATGGAGCAGCAGCAAAACTGAGGGAAAAGTCAGCCAGTCATCAAGTATTTTGTTAAGTGCCTACTATGTGAAAGGCATTATGCTAAGCATTTGGAAAAAATGACTAAACAACACTCTGTCAGGGGACTGGCACTCTGAGGAAAAAAGAAATACACAAATACTGGCAATGAATTTATCCCCTTCCCAGCCTCAGTTAAGATGGGTGAGACCAGGACTCATTTTCAGGTGTGTGTTTTTATTCTGTTAAAGATTGGATCTGGGGGCAGCTAGGTGGCGCAGTGGATAGAGCTCTAGCCTTGGAGAGGGGAAGGACCTGAGTTCAAATCCAGCCTCAGACACTTGACACTCACTAGCTGTGGGACCCTGAGCAAATCACTTACCCCCATTGCCTCACCTAAAAAAAAAAAAGATTGGATCTGAGGGGTCTAATTTTCTTTTTCATAAAGACCTGTGGTTGACCCCACCCTTTGCATGTCCTTGGGTCTCTGCTTCCAGCAGGAGCGATGCCTAGGGCAGTTCTGGGAGGCACCCAGAAGTGAGTGACCCTTCTTAGCACAAGGCTGGGATCCCAACCCCCACACCATTGTTGGAGGGTTTTCTCTCCCTCACTGAGGATGTCATCACAAGGTGTTTATGTGTGTCAGAACTACATCTCTAAGGACAGAACTATTGCATTTAAAATCTGCTTCTTCAAACCATGAACCTGGCTTGTTATGACCCCTACTGGTTACAGCAGGATGCCCCAATCCTGTAATCTGCCATTTGTTGAGAAGATCCACGATGAGACTTTAAAAAATGAACAAAAAAGCATTTTTAAGTGATCGCTACATGCAGAACACTATGCTAGCTACTGAAGAAACAAACAGAAAAATAGAAACTATTTTCACTCTCCAGGAGCTCATGCAGTAACTGAGGGAGTCAGTACCTTGAAGAAGGTTCAGCTGTAAAGTTCAGATGGAGAGGCCTGGAATTCCTAAAAGTGCAGGACAGGAGTGGATGGCAAGGCCCAGGGGGCCTTAGTTTACATCAGTAGGTCTGGGGATAGTGCTTCAGGTCTACAAGGTATAGAGGCAGGGCATACGGGAAGGCTTGGTGATCTTCCATCTCATCCAAGCTATTTGGGTAGTGAAACAGTCTAGATGGGTTCTGGGATGGGCCTGGACCTAGGATTTGGGAGGGGGGGAAGAGGGTGGGGAAGACAAGCTTCTGATAGCCTAAGAAGGATAGTGTCGCTTCCCACTGGACTTGGAATGTGGATGGGAATACGGATGGCAAGCTCAGTCAGCATCAGAGCCTCTGTGGCTGGAGAGAGCTGGGTATGGTAGTCCTCATGTGCTACAAGCCAAGCAGTCTTTCTCTGTGGTTTCTGCAGATGTGCATCTGACCAGTGTATGACCTCCATCAGGCTTTCAAAGGCAATGGAAGAAGGACAGGTGGTTTCCATTCTATGTTAGTGTTCCTGTAAGGATCCCAAGATTGGTCAGCCTCTGTCCCAGGTACACTGAAGGCAAGAGGAAAGGGCTCAGGAGGTATTCTCAAGGACAAAGACTGCACTGGTCTTGTGATAAAACATCACTGTGGTATCACTTGTGATAAAACAAAAGTCAAGATGACTGTCTATGGTCTGGGCTGCAGTGAATCACTTTGGCGCCTTTGATGTCTGGCCAAGCCTTTGGTGCATGCTGTCCCTCAACACCTCCAGCAGTTTACAGTACATTCCATTGCACAAGACAATTTTTTTTTGTCAATACAGGGGAACACAAACAGACAAACAAGGAAGCACTGCCCATACAGGGAAAGCATCCCAAGTTACCAGACCTCCAGAGATATGCCTCATCATCTGACTCTCTTGTTCTCTCTCTGGATGTCACAAACCATTCCACCACAAGACGCCAGCTCAGAAACACCAGGCTGGAAATCTAGCTATTTTTGTCTTTGAAAGCTGATGGGGAAGAGAGGCTGGTGCCCTCACAAGAATTATTGCCGAAAGCTTCTACCTTCCTGTTCCCCTCATCAATTGTTTTGTCATCCTGCTTATAATGGCAAAAGAGATTTTAGAAATCATATTGGCCAGGAGCTCTTTCCACATGATGTCAGTTGGTCATCATGCTTCCACCACTTCCAGTGGTGGGGAACTCATCTACTACACAAGACAGCTCACTCTGTCTTTGGATGATGTGAATAATTAGGAAGCTCCCTGTATTGAGCTGAGAACAGCCTCCCCATGACTTTGACTTTTGGATCATGCTTTTGTGCTCTGGATCACCTTAGAGTAAGTTTTCCCTATGAGAGTTCTTTAGATAATTGAGATCAATCATCTCATCCTTCTAAATCTTCTCTTATTCAAGCAAATATCCCTGGCTCCTTCAAAAGCTTCAATACAAGTCAATAAGCATTTGTTAAATGCTTATCATGTTCCAGTCAATGTGCTAAGCACTGGGGATACACAGAAAGTCAAAAATCACCCCCCAAACACCATCCCTGTCTTCAAAGAGCTCAAGATCTAATCACAGAAACACCATGCCAACAACTGTGTACAAACAACATACATACAGGATAAACTGGAGATGAGCACAGAGGAAAGAAGGCCCTAGCATCAATGGGCCCCTGGAACTTGCCAAAAGTTGGTGCTTGTCCTTCATTTTTGAAGAGGACCAGTGACGTCATGGGGTGATGTCTTGATTTGTGTGAATTGAAATTAAATAAGGCAGAGCTACACAAAGTCATCAGCCTCACTCTCTCTTCTAGAGTCAACAAAGTCCAGTGGCAAGACAGAAGTCAAGATGACTGGCTATGGCCTGCACTGGACCACTTGGCACCTTTGATGTCTGACCAAGCTCTAAGCACTCCACAGTGCCTGTTTCAGCTGCCTTCATGACCATTAGAACAAATTGTTCTCATCCAGGAAGTCTTCATATGCTTGGGGTAGACATCCCCCTAACTCACAGCCGGGTATGAGGTCTGTTGGCTTAGCCCATCTGCCAAGATGGTTTTACAAAGGTATGGCCACTGCACATGGCCATAGCTTTTTGGAGCCAAAAGTAGGATTTTAGCTGAGACGTGAAGGAAGCCAGGGAAGCCAGGAGCCTAAGGTGAGGAAGGAGAACCTTCCAGGTAGTAGAGAGCCAGTAGAGTTTATTGAGAGAGAGAGAGAGAGAGAGAGAGAGAGAGAGAGAGAGAGAGAGATGGTCAGACCTTTGCTTTAAGAAGACAACTTTGATAGCTGAGTGGAGTATGGACTGGACTGGAGAGAGACTTAAGGGTCTATACCAGGGTAGTGGTAGTGTCAGAGGAGAGAACAGGTCGTGTATGAGAGATATTGTAAAAGTAGAATCTACAGGGCTCTTAATAACAGAATAAATGAATGATGTACAATTGGGGAGGGGCAAATGATATTTCTTGGGACATGGAATAATTTTCTCAAAAAGAATAATTTCTTAGATTTATATGCCACTTTTTACTTTTCAGGGACACACTATTTGCGTACATTATTTTATTCAATCCGCGTCAGCATGGAGTACAAACATCATCTCAAATCAAAACTGGAAGGCATATGAGAGGTCATCTAGGCCATTGTTGTCTTTTTTTAAAAATGGTATTTACTTATTTTATTGCTTGTCAATTTTATTTTATTACCATTTCCAAATTATCTCCTTCCTCCCTCCTCCTGCCCAATCCATTGAGAAGGCAAGAAAAACAAAACTTGTTTCAAAAATGAATAGTCTTGCAAAATAAACTACCACATTAACAATGTCCAAAAAAAAAAAGAAAGAAAGAAAAATATGCTTCAGTCTGCACCCTGAGTCCATCATCTCTCTATCTTGAGGCAGGCAGCATGTTTCATCATGAATCCTATGGAACTGTGGTTATCATGTAGATCAGAGTTGCCAAGTCTTTCAAAGTTGATTATCTTTACAATATTGCTGTTATTGTACAAATTGTTCTCCTGGTTCTGCTCACTTCATTTTGCATCAATTAATACAAGGCTTCCCAGATTTTTCTGAAACCATCCCCTTCATCATTTCTTACAGCACAATAGTATTCCAGCACATTAATGTACCATAACTATATTGTTATATACTATAGATATTATATTATATATTACTGTATTATATAATAAATATTATATTTCTACATTGTTAATATAATATATTATATATATAACTATATATTGTTCAACTATGTCCCAATTGATGAGCTCCCCCTAAATTTCAAATTCTTTGTCACTACAAAAGGAGTTGCTAGAAATATTTTTGTACATATGGATTCTTTTCCTCTTTCTTTGATCTCTTTGAGATATAAAACTAAGGATCAAAAGTTTAATAGATTTTTAAATATAGTTCCAAATTGCTTTCCAGACTGGTTGCACTAGTTCAATATCTACCAACAGTGCAGTAGTGTGCCTGTTTTCCCATAGACCCTCCAGAATTTGTCATCTTTGCCAATCTGATGGGTACAAGGTGGTACCTCAGAGTTGCTTTAATTTGCATGTCTCTAATTACTAGCGATGTAGTCCAATGTTATATTTTGAAAAAAGGAAAAAAAAACTAAGGCCCAAAGGGGTAGAAGTCACAGAGATTACAAAGCCAATTATTGATAGGAGCAGAGACCCCAGGGCAAGGATGAACTTCTGGGTTGCTCTCTTCACTCGGGAAGCTGGATGCCCAAATGAAAGTCCCAGCTGTGATGCCACACAGGGGCCCCTGCCAGTATGAAGCACTTTTTAGTCAGGGACAAGGTAAAATACAGGCCAATGTATTTGTGTACGCCCAGGTGAAAGGCACGAATCACAAACTCAAAACAACTTTTTATGCCAGGCTATAGAAGAGCTACTACTGGGCCAGCTGAGATAGCCGTGGGATCAGAGAAGAGCAGAGGATGGGGTGGACTCACTTCGGATGCTGCCACTTAATTTAGTCGCCATCTAGACCATCTGTGGAAAGGGTCCCAAGTTGCAGACCTCTCCCCTCTCTTGTTGCTTCAAAATAAGCATATAACCCTTCCTTTAGTTTTCCAATTCCCCCCCCCTTTTTTGTTGCTAATTATAAAGGAGAAACAGCCTGAGGGTTAAAAGAAAAAGTAAGCAAAAAGGGAAAGTAATTTAATTATAAAAGTCTCATAAACCTATAGCCAAGGAGCACCTTGGTATTGATCAAGATGAAAATGAAGTTAGGGCTGACCTTTTTTAGTGTAACTAGGTGTAGCCCTGGGAGAGATGTTATGGAGACAAGAAACTCATCAAGTCTCCATCCCAGAGTTCACCATTTGGCGACATCTTTTGAACTTAGCTTTCTGTGGAGATGTGTGGGATTTTTTTCCTTCTGTTTGGTTGTTCTAGAGAATTCTAAGCAGGGGAAGCCAGGGGAAGAGAATTTCTTCCCCATCTTGTGCTGCAAAGGTGGACAGAATGGAGAGGCATATCCAGTCTCTGGATTACTGCTCCCCTCTGTCCCACCCTGAAAGCTTAGTGGGTTGCTATGGCTGGGTGGGATAATTAGAGACTTCCAAGAGCTCAGTGTGACTTATTTGAGAGAATGGAAGCACCACACCACACCAATGTCTCCATGTCACCTATCTCCAGTCTGGGCGAGGAAGCAGCTTCCTCATTAACTGTCCCTGAAAAGCACCTTACTAGTGATACCACAATGGAAGTTGGAGCCAATCAGTAGAGTCCTATACTGGATTTTGACTTCCCATGCATGGCACCAAAATGCATCTGGTCCTGCCAAGTCATAGCTCTCTCGGGCCACGGAAGCATGTACTGTGACTTTGGACTATTTGGCCAGAGAGGCAAAATCCTACCGTCTACAAGAAACTTTTCCTGATCCCCTTTAATGTTAGTGCCTTCCCCCTATTGATTATCTAGAATTTTTCCTGCATATAACTTGTTCATGCATATTGTCTCCTCTATTAGACTGAGAGTTCTTTCAGGGCAGAGCTAATTTTTGTCTTTCTTTGTATCTCCAGAACTTAGCACGGTGCCTGACACATAGTAGGTGATTAATAAATACTTGTTGAAGTTGTGGTATACGAATGTAATGGAATACTATTATGCTGTAAGAAATGATGAGCAGATGGACTTCAGAAAAATCTGGAAAGACTTGCGTGAACTGATGCTGAGTGAAGTGAGCAGAACCAGGAGAACACTGTACACAGTTAACAGCAACGTAGCCCAATGACCAATTTTGATAGACTTAACTCTTTGATCTAAGACAATTCCAAAAGACTCATAGAAAAAGAACTCTGGAGTCTGAATGTAGATCAAAACACACTATTTGCTCTCTCTGTCTCTTTTTTGTTTGTTTCTTCTTTCTCATGGTTCCTGCTATTGGTCCTAATTCTTCTTTACAACATGACTGATGTGAAAATATGTTTAATATGAATGTATATGTAGAGCCTATATCAGGTTGCATGCTGTCTTGGGGAAGAGGGAGGGGAAGGAGGTGGAGAAAATTTAGAATTCAAAATCTTATGGAAGTGAATGTGGTAAACTAAAAATTAATTAATTAATTAAAATTTAAAAAAAACACTTGTTGACTTAACTTCACTAATAAGAAACAGATTTCACTAGTCCAAGATGGTGGCAGATGCCACTAAGAAGTGTAAAACTCGTGCCCAATGTGTGCAAAGAAAAACAATGCCAATTTGTGCTGCCTATTTGGAGAATATAAGCACTAGTCAAACCTTAGAACTTCTCTGCATTGACTTTTTTCTCTCTGGAAGGATATAGTAAGAGCATATGCCATATCTTAATGGTGACTAATCATTTCACCAAGTGTTCACCAGCATATCCAACAAGGAACTGAAAGGTATCCACAGTTGCTAAAGTATTGAGGGATAAATATTTCTCATCATATGGATTCTATGCCAGGATTCATTCTGACCAAGGCAGAGGATTTAAGAGCAACCTATTCAAATAAACATAAACTTTGGCAAGATGTCTAGAACTATACCTTACTCTTACAAAGAGATCCACAAGGGGCAGCTAGGTGGTGCAATAGATAGAGATCCAGCCTTGGAGTCAGGAGGACCCGAGTTCAAATCTGGTCTCAGACACGTGAAACTTACTAGCTATGTGACACTGGGCAAGTCACTTAACCCTGATTGCTCACACACACACACATAAAAAAAAACAAAGAGATCCACAGCCCAAGAGTTTCAATTGAACAATGCTGAACCTGTTGGGAACTCTGAGACCAAAACAAAAATCTCAGTAGAGTCAATGTGTATCATTTCTAGTACATGCTTACACTCCACCAGAAATGAAGTCGCATGGCTTTGCACCATATTAGCTTATGTTTGGGCTGTACCTATCTATTGACTTGCACTTTAGAGTTTCAGAGGATGGAGATAATGCAAATACTCACAACCAATACATCTGTCAAGTGAGAGAAATTCTCAGAAAGAACCTTCCCAACAGCCATGTCTTTGATTCAGAAGAGTTCAGACAGAAATGAATTGTGGCATCACCAAGACCTTTGACAAGAGGAGTTCTGTTGAGAAACCTGGGTGTTCAAGGGGCACACAAGTTAGCAGACTAATGGAAAACTAACCCACATAAAGTATTTGAGAGATTAGGCAACTTTCCCACTTACAGAATAGATCCAGAGGGTAGAGACAAGTCACCACAATGACTTACTGCCCACTGGAGAGTTATTTGGATTTTTTGACAAGCAGGTAGAGCATGAGGCAGTCAA